TATCGCTGCACCTTGTCGGGCGACTGCAGATGATGAGTCATCCCCTCGTGCAGCAGTCGCTTGCGCTCCTCTTGCATATTGACATTACATTCTTTGCCAGCCAGCACCAGCAGCTTGCATATGGCCACATGCTCCTGGCTGCTCAGCTTTTGTAGGGTGATTCGCTTGGACCACATGCCCAGCAGCTGGTTAAAGAGCACTTGCAGCTCCGCGGCTGCCGTTACGGCGAGATACCCCACTAATATGCAGAGTGGTGCATTCTCTGTGGGCGCACGCTGCAGCGGCAGCTTCTGGAGCAAGCAATGTTGCCAATGTGGCTTCTCCATTGCACCGGGTCCCAGCAGCACGTAAAGATTAAGCTCAGCATTGAGCGCCGACTGTGCCACTTTAAGACAGGCCGCTGGCTCCAGATGATGTAAGATTTGTTGCAACACGCTGCGTGATCTTGGCGCAACCGCAAGATCTTCCAGCACGCGCATTAGGTTCTCCAGTGTGGCGGCCTCAAAGTAGTTGTTAAGCACGCGTGAAAGCATCCAACTAAACGGACTTAGATCGAAGTATCCCAACTGATCCTCGCACTGCAGCACAAAATACACAGCTCTGACCCAATGCCGCAGAAGCAGGCGTCCGTAGGCGATCGTCGCAAATATTGGAGGCAACTGCCGCCCCATCTTGTTGGCCACCAGGCCAGGCAGCCCAATCAACAGTTGTATGAACTGCAGAGTCCGCTCATCGTGCTCGTCCATCAGCCGCTCGGGCAACACTTTAATGGTGCGCGCATATCGTTGCATTAGCGCTCCACGCTGACGTGTGAGGTGCAGCAAGCAAACGGAGATCAAACTCTGATCCTGGACAAGGGCCGCGAGCATGGAGGCAGCTGTGCCGGGCACCCGTTCCAGTTGCTGTTGCAGCGTCTCAAATGAAACTTCCACATATCCAAAGCTGTAATCCAATTTAAACATATTTAGAACATCCACATCATCTGTGGGCTGGGGCCAATCTCGTGTGAACAGTCTGCCAAGCTGGGCGAGCAGAGCCGCATACTCATCGTCTGCCAGTTGGGACCAGTCAACCACACGGCAATCGAGCCCTACAAGTTGCTCTGGCGTTGTATAACCGGGCAAAGCGCCAGCGCTGTGTAATTGACGCAGTGTGGCGGCCACATAGCTGACATCGGCGGCGCTCTGCACGCATGGCAAATCACGTAGGCTTGCAATGGCCTTCGACAGGGTCAGGCGTATTGATTCCGATGGCGGAGGCAGCGACGCCTTTGCGACGTGCGGAACTTCAACAGCTGCATTGAAGCGGAAAGGAAGAAAAAGAGAACGAGTGCATCCGATTGGATTATGTTGACCGTTATGTGTGGTAGCTAGCTTAGCGACATGAGTTACAGAGATTGGGGGGATATAAGGAGCGAGAGATAGAGTGAGGCAGGACTTTCTTTTATACACAAATCGCGCTGTCATGCAAAAAGTTCGATTGACGCTCACTAAATTAAGTAAAGTAAATCTACGCTAGAACGAATCCTAATGCGCGTCCAAATAACCAATCATTAATTGTAGCTTAATATATATAAACTCACCCATTGGCATGCTCTGATGAATCGACAAATCGCCCAATCCGGCCAGCAGATCTGTGGCTGTTGTTGCCGTTGCCGTTGCTGCTGGCGTTGCGGTGTTGAACAGATCAAAGGCATCGTTAGCTGGCGTCGCCGTCGTCAACAGGTTGCCATCCAGTACCGAGGTAGATGACACCGTCGCAGCACTAGAGCTCTGGAATGCATTAAAGTCCGCAAACTCATCATTGCTTGGCGCCGGCAATATGCCCGTCGAAGGTGGTAATGAGCCGCTGCCGAAAGCAGTCGCAAAATCACCGAACTCTTGCGTGGGAGCAGCATCAGCAGCACGCGGATTGAAGTCATCGTCGTCATCAATAATAACAGCTGCGCTATTAAGCGTCTTCTCGACTTTCGGCGACTGCTGTACTGGGCTCGTTGAACACGTCTTGAATAGATCATCCAGCAAATCATTGTTGTTAATCGGTGTATTGCTCTTGTTATTGTTGTTGCTGGGCGAACCGCCGCCCATTAGATCAACGCTATTTGTGGTGGGCGTGTCGCGATGCGTAGGCGAGTGAATGCCGGCCGCGTTCGGCGTCTTGCCAAAGTTAGCCGCAGCACCCAAATTGATTTTCTTTTGTGGTGGCGGCTGCTTTGAGGTGCCAGAGGATGTGGGCTGCTTGGACACCGGCGAGCTGACCGCCTTTGAGCGTATGTTCATGTTGAGGTTTGTGGGTTTGCTCTCAACAGCCACCTCAGCGGGACTAGCACGATCATTGTACCGATAGTTGCGCCTGAAAAAGACGAGGAGCTTCATTAACACAAACAAAGGAAATTATGAGAGAACTTACCTGGGACTTGGTGAATCACTGTCGGAGCCTTCGCGCTCGCCATCATATTGAGTATCATCGTCCTCGTAACGGTCTGCAGAGCTCTTATCGGAATCTAAATTTGTAACAATTCAACAAACATTGAGATTTGCAATATTGTTGAGTATTATAGACAAATTGCTTACACCAATTATCACCGCGATTGCTGCGCCAATCCCCGTCGTTGTATCCTCCGCTACCGCCGGCGCCGCCTCCACTGTAGCCGCTGTAGCCACCGCTGCGGGAGCCCATGGCATCACTGCTCATACCAATATATTTGTCCTTATTCTTTTTGGCCTTTTTGCGCTCCTCGCGCAAACGATCATCGTCCTGAATAAAGTCTATAAGCTCTCGTACCTTATGCCTAACATTAATACCCTGATCCTTGCCGCCCTCGTCCGTAAACGTATAATTCTCCAATGAACGCAGATCATAGATGTGCTCCCGCGACGACGTGACCACGCGCTCCGAACCATTCCGTACCAAATAATTCAACAGCAGCAAGCTCTAAAAGTGTATAAATAAATTAGCATATGAAAGTATACAAACATTTATTTATTTGCTCTACCTTGTACGTCCGTCTCCAATTGGTTTTGTTGTCCTGCAGCATACGTTTCCAAAGCATGGACATGACTTCCGGAAAGGTCTCATAGGAGAATGTGGCATGCGCCAGCTCCTGCATGAGCGGACCTGTTGGACCCCAGGGATCATCGTTCGTCGCCTCGCGCACCTTGCCCTCTATTTCTGTGTAGTTCATTACAACATTGGTGCTGCACGAAATCAAGTTAGAGTTTACCATTAATTATTAATCAAGGACAAATAGTTACAGCCGAGTCTGCACATTAAAAATACTAATAAAGGTTAGAATTAAACTCAAAACAAACAAAAGCCCGCATATTTTTTTTTTATACATATTTTATTTGCCATCTGTTGTAAACTAAAAAATAAGCAAATTGACTAACAATAACTATTAATTAACCGGGCGTTGTGAGCTCGAGGTTTCAATTCATAGGATAAATATATGAGGGCATAATCTTGTAGTCATCTCTTTCTGGGATAAGGTCATAAATTTAAGCTTATTTAATATTGGGAAGTCAATTACAGTTTAGTCCGTCTTAATGTTTAAAGCTTATCCACTTGTTTCATAATTGTTAACATGATACTAAAAGTGTGATTTGACACAATTGAGCCTTATCAGTTGGAGATAAGACTTAACGGACTTGGAGAATGCACCGAGGGCATTACGGCTATTTTACCAATAAAATTGGGGCAGCCAGCCAATCGACAAAGCGGAAATGGTCTCCACGTTCGTGGAGACAATTGAAAGTTGAGCACGCACAGAACACTCAAATGACATCGATAGTAAATTATGATAAAAGGTAGCAATTAATAATAAGCGCTCGTAATTGGAAGTGGAATTGAAATTGAAATTTCACTGGAAAGTTAAGTGGAAGCACGAATGTGAGTACAGCTGGAATGCATATCTTATTTTGGGGCACAACGCAAAGCAAACAAAATGTTTTTCTTGATAAAAATATATACATATGTACGTATGCGTGTACTTATAATATTCGAGTGCATGTGTATGTGAGAATTGGTATTACTACTGTGAAATGAGCTCGAACGTACAATCAAATCTCGATAAAACGAACAACCTTGAATACAATAAAAGCGGCCAACGGCAAACAAAGCCCAGCGTTAATCGCTCTTCCATAAACATGGAGACTGAGCAAAACTATATCACTTTTGGCACGACTGCATTTGTAGCACCTGTGTATTGAAAGAGACAGGTATTGGGGGTGCGGATGAGTTGTTGTTGGCGAAGGGCGTGGGAGTGCTGGAGCCCCCTTTTACTTATGATTCTTTTGTTGTTGTTATCTCTTACTATACTTCAATTTTATGTATACTAATTATGTTGGGGAACTTACACTTTGTCCGCCAACTCGCGCACTTTCCACATGCTAATAAATTTATCAACCATTTTAACTTAATTCTCTGCTTTGGAATTTTTCACACAAACTTGCCAAGTTGCTGGCAGACAAAACTTGTTTTTTCTTTTATTTGGGTCGTATATATATTACGTATGCATATATAAGTTGTTGCACAAAGATCGCGTAATGTCGAATTACATGTAGCTCTACACTTTCTATTACTATAAGCCAAATAATAAGTATAAAATTTAAACGAAAATGCAAAGTAAAATCACTGCACTCTGCAGGCAGAATTTTGGTGAGCTGTCTCCCGTCAGTGTTGCTAATACTTTGTGGAACAGTGCTGTAAATGTGAATGAATGTGAATGCTGGTGTCGATGGTACAAATTCGATACTTGATAAGTATCGTTATAATACCTTGCATATCGATATGTTGTCAATAAGAATATTTTACAACACTGGACCAGGCTGCCGTTGCCGTCATCTGTGGAGCTGTAGAACTTTGGAAATATTTAAGTAATAATTCCTTAAGATAAATTAATAATGGATCATGACAATAATATTTAGCAATTTTCTGTGAAATAACACCTGTTGTCATCGGACCGTTTCCTAACGGACTGAGTATTTCATGAAAAAAATGTAAACAAAAAGGTTATGTAAACTTCATTGGTCTTACAGCGCGAGTATTAGCCGCCAGCACTCCACGGATACACAAGGAACATAAATAAAAATGTTGAAGCTACAGCGATTTGCCGGCAGCATTGTCGTACAGATATACCGAGGCGCAACATACAGCAGTAACGCACGTGCGGCGAGCGCGGCACTTGCAACGGCGGCTAGTAATGGACAAGGAGTGGGATCAGGTGCCGCTGACGAGGCTGAAGTGCGTGCGGATTTGGGTGCCAAAAAGCCAAAGATTTCGGGTGAGTACAAATATAGTTATCTAATGAGTTTCTGTTGATAATTTAATTGATTCATTTGAAGGCATGGTTGCTGCAGCATTTGAATCGTTAAGAAACGAAAACGAATCCCCTGGAAAAGCAACAACGAACAACTCAAGCTCTACGCAAACCGTTAATAATATAGATGAACGGATCATCAATGCTAAAACTGTTAATGGTCTGTTGGCCATAACCGAAAACAATAACGCATTTTCACGTAAGCACGCTCTGAAGATCGTGTCCATACTAGCCGAATGGAGTACCGTCGATCGCGTGAAAATATCTGATTTTGAAAACGATTCAAGATTTTTGCGTGTTTGTCGAATGCTAGGCCGCACTGTGCCGAAGAATGAGACTAATGGCAAAAAGAATGGCACTGGAAGTGGCACGAACAACTCCAACAAACGCATTTCTGGCTTTCGCACCGACGACCTTAACACGGTTCTTGGCGTAGCTGGGGACGATGAAGCTGCGAAGCTAATAGCTAGCATAACTCTTCCGCAAATGGTGAAAGTGATGAGCACCCTGGCACTGCGCAAACGACGTAGCACTCCTTTGCTACGCTCACTAGCGTTTAACATTAGCAGCTCATCAGATCAATTAGATTTGAAGCAAGCTGCTGATGTCCTGTATGCCATGTCCACCTTAAACTTTCAGGACTCTGTACTCGGTGCAAAAGTTTGTGCAGATGTGCAGGCCGCTCTGCCAAAGAATACTGAGAAATCGGCTGTTGTGGGCTCTGTGCTCACCAGTCTAGGCATAATGCGATATCGGGATTTGGGTATGTGCTGAACACCGTCCACTGTTTACAGAAATTTAACTATACAATTTACAGACATATTGGAATCGTTGACGCAGTGGCTGCTGAAGAACAGTGAAATATGTCGACCTCAGGATCTGAGCGCCTATTTCCTCACATCAGCGCTTCTTAACTTCAAGAGTGCACATTTGGAGGATGTGCGTAATAAGCTGGCGAAATCAATTGTCCGTGAGGATTTCACCAAGCAATCGGATTGGCTAAACTATGTTTGGTCACTCGCTCTGCTGGGTATAGTGGAAAACAGTCAGATAAATTCGGTGCTGAGGTTGTGCTTACAAGAGTTTTACTTTAAATCCACTTAACTAATTGATTTCAACTTTCAGCACGGAATTTCTGACTAAATTGGAGAGTGATAAGGCGGTCTTTACGCCAACATCCAAGATGAGGCTACTGAATCTAAATAGTTATGCGCAACTATGCCTAACCGGCTACAAGGGTGCTTTGCTGCCAGCCGATTCTCCAGCCTATGATGTTCCTATGGCGCACACGAAGTCCAAACAGATTCTTGTCAATGGAATGCTTGACGCATTAAAGAGTCTGTTGCCTGCCGTAAATCATGTGCAAAGTTCTGTCGACAGCAAAATGGGATTCTTAATTGGTAAGTCAGAGTAAATAATGTAGAATAGTTTTCTTAAAAATAATATTTAAATTTTAGATGCGGTGTGCCAGTTTGATGCAAAACGTAACCCACTTCCCCTGGACAGTCAGAGTGCCGATGCCATTAAGTAATTATTACTAAATGTGACCTAATTATGAGCTCAATTTCATAGTCGTTGTATTTATACTTTTAGAATCGCCCTAATGGTAGTTGATTTTCATGACATATGCCACGGAACGCATCGTAGTGCCAGCGGCCCAACGAATCTAGCGTTCGATCTGCTGGAAAGGAGTGGCTACCAAATTATACCTGTGCCCCATAGCGAGTTCAGCACCAGTGACAAATTGCTGAAGCGCGTTCAGTATCTGGAGGCGAAGTTTAAGGCTATCGTTAGTAAATAATATCAGTTATAGAGAGTTGATCCTTTTATCAAAATTTGAATTGTTTGATTATTGTAGTTTTATAAAAACAATCAAATAACTGCATAAGAGAAAATATACAATTGCCGTAAGTAGACTTGTTTGTAATATGCCCCGATAAAACTTTTAATTTGATAAAGTAACTGTATTTGTTTTTTGTTTGGTGTGCTTCTTCGTTTTACTCTGCATCCAATTTGCTGCTGCGCTGCTTGTTCATGCCCACCTTCCACCACAATCCTGTCTCCTGGAACTCAGTGGCAACAGCAGCGAGCGTGTGGAATAGATTGCGTGCCAGCATATGACTATTGGCCACATGCAGTATGAACTTGGGATCGTAGACCTTCTCCAGGTCCTCGATCTTGTAATGATCGCGCGTTTCACGCTCTGTCAGGCAAATGCAGTTCCATGGCGACCAATCGTCGCTCTTATTCCAGCGAGGTAAACTAACGAAATGTGTGTTAAATGCGATAATTCAATTAATTCACATTTTAAGAGAATGCTTACCGCAACTCATTTAGATTCTCCGACTTGCTCAGCGCCGAATGACCATGCCAGATTTTGTCTATCAAATGACGCACATCGTCCTGCTGAATGACAAAGGCAAAGGATGAGGCGCACTTGCGTTTGCGCTCGTCGCGCTGAATACAGCGTAGAATCGACTGATACACATTATTCTCTGTGGCCACCAACTGAAAGGAATTCCCATTAGCAATACAGTCAAGCAGATGAGGCAGCTTACCTTCAGGTAATAGCAATGCTTGCAAGTGTCCACGTGACTCTGGCGCGTGCGGATTGCGAACTCTGCATACGGCTTCACCTTCTTGCAGACGATGCACATGCGCGAGGGAACCTCTGTGGGCGAGATATGTTGAAATGCTCCGGCATCTGCTAAGTGTTGGCTACTTACTGTCTGGTATGCCATTCTTCTGAAATTTAATCAGCTCAAAGAATAATATGTTCTGGCGTTTGCGTAGGATTTCCACATCGCAGGACCTGGTATAGAGCAGCAAGTTCCTCTCGCGATCGAACAGATCGAAAAGCTGAGGGATTCAACATTTATAGTGGATCACACACAGCTCAATGCCTTAGGCTTACCTCAGCAAAGTTAGGAAAGCAGGATTCTTCGGCAACCAACTGCATGACACGTCCCAACAGCTCCAGGCGCTTCTCCTTATCATCCGTTTTGCGCAAATCCTTGTAGATCTCAGTTAGAAATCGCACACGCTGCGTACGCAACAAGTCCATGTGTATTTTCGTATCATTGTAGCCAATCCATTCGATCGGCTTGCCCATTTTCTTTAAGAGCTGATCGTTGCGGAAGTCCTCCATGGCCAGGTGAACGAGTCGCCGCTGTCGCTCCACACCGTTGAGCAAGCTAATCTCCTTGTCCAACAGGATGTTGACCTCGGATATGCGGGCAGGTCCCTCATAGTTGGCTGCAATGCGCTTGAGTTCCGCCCGCTTCCAGCGTGAGATTTCGGCAAAGAGCAAGTCAAAGTCATCGTTGGTGCGTGGAAACTGTTTGATTTTCTCATTGCGTTCCACTCGCTGCTCCACGCACTTCTCGTAACGCTCGTCCTCATCCAGGCGATTCTTAACCAGACGCCTGCCAATGCGCGTGAATGATAATGATCAAAATATCTTGTAGTAGACTGACTAAGTAAACCCTACATACCTATACTCCGCGGCACGCAGATGAATATATTTCCAGAGTATCCAGCGCCGCCAGTTGCGCTGTATAAGTAGAATCTTCTCGAGCTTATGCTCGGCGCGTTCGATCTGCGCGTATGTTTGATATTTTCCAGGTATGATCTCAAAATCTGTGGCCGTCGACTCGTATCTAATGTTGATTTTATCCAGGTAACATTGCACCGACTGCTCATGGGCTGTATTCTGCAATGGGCAATGCAATGGGCTTAGTAGAGAAGATGCTTCTACACGAATGTCTCCAACGGCTTACCAAAATCTTTTCCTTGTGCTCCCAGGTTTGGGTGTCGCGTGTACGATAGCGTTTATATTTCCATTTGTCAAAGTATGGACCGGTTTGTGTAAAGGCATCCAGATATTGTTTGCCAGTTTTCTTATCCTGGTAGCCGCACAAAAAGGGCTTCTCAATAGCCGAATTCTCGATCTCGACCACAATATTCTTTGGCTGCCCGTCCTCCGTATCCTCGCCGGAGATGTGCACCGTCAAATAGTCGGGCAAGCGGTATTTTCTACACAGATCATTACCGGATCATTAGATCTATTATATTAGTGTCTCCTCTTGCTACTCACTCGTAGTAAACGCGCAGACTCAATTTGGGTGAGGGATCGCATTCGTCGACTTTTGGCTTCTGTGCAAGTTCCAGGTCAAATTTGTGTATGCCAAACTCGTCCGAAATGGTCGCATATATGGGCACCGTATTGCAGATCAGGCTACCCTCCTGCTTGATGAGCAGCAGCATCGGATCCACCTCAAATCTGCGCGCTACATCCTGCTTAACCTCGGCCATGGTCATGCAGTTCGGATAGACCTGGGCAATCAACTTGTCCGGCGCTATGCAAAACTTAACGGTCACATTTTGGGGCTCCATGCTGATGGCGGATTGAACCGATTCAGTGCTGCGTGGCATATAGTCTGGCCCACAAACCGAGCGCACTATGGGACGCTGTCTAGGTGGTACATTCAGCTGCATATTGCAGACGGTTGTCGGCAAGAACTCCTTCTCGCTCATCTTGTCGATTAAATTCAAATTTCTAATGTATATTTATATATATATTTATATGTTTCTAGATTTGATATGATTTGACTTTGAGGATCTCGAACTGAATCCAGAAAACAGCCTGCCTGCTGTGTTTATCTCTCTCTCTCTCTCTCTCTCTCTGTGTTTGTGAGTGTGTGTGTTGGGCCCTTCAATGAGACTGCTGTTGGGCGAGGTTGCTGGGGGTATGGGAATTGATTTGTTCAATAAATCAGTTGCTTGGCACCCTGTTGTGGCAACGTGCCACATTTTCCCGTTCAGCAGCGTTTTTAACTGTTTATTATTTAATTGAGCACTGACTTTTCTCACGCATTTTATTGTTGCTGTTGTTGCTGTATTTAAATGAATTTTATTTACAAAATGAGTTTTTTCATTGGCTTAGCTCGGAGTGAAAGCTCCGCAGAAGTCTTTCTGATTGGCCTTATTTGATTGTTGGCCAAATTCCGTATCATAACACATCTGAATATTCGGTTATTAACAATAAAATGAATCTTCGAGTTGTTATCATTTCATTATTTATTGCACAACATTCGAACGACAGCTGGGTGAATGCCGACAGTAATTACTTTTACTAAATGCTTTTTAAGTTTTGTCTTGCTTCAATCTCTTCAGATTGTACACATGTATATATACATATATACGCAGGTACGTGTGTATGTGTGTGCTGGAAGGCATTCCGCAGGCGATCATGATTGACTATGAAATAATTATGTCTATTAAGGGTCATTTGCAACTGGTTTATACGGGGTAGATAAAATTATGAGCATAATATATGTATTTGCGAATCTTTTAAATGTTTTGGTTTGCCAAAAATATTTGATATAAAAATAAAAGTAATTATATGTAGGTATATATATAGTTTATGTAAATATATCTTTAAAATTCGTAAAGGGACTTTCAAAATGCATATTTAATGGAACTACTAGTTCTATTACCTCTCTCTATATATCCACATACTTAAACATATACATATCTATCTCACTGCTTCATAATACTTCTATCTTCTATCAATCTAATGCATACAAATAGTACCTCTCTCTCTCTCTCTCTCTCTGTATAACTAACTGCATACTTACATATATATCTACCTACCTTCTTCTTCTGTACAAGACTTCTATTTTCTATCAATTTACAGCTGTGTATTTTTGTTTAATTTTCAGTCGATCTATCTATCCATATATCTTTAACTTCATTGTGACGTCTTCTTCTATCCTTCTTTTACCAATCTACTATATCTAACTTCTATATTCTATCTATCGTCTACCCATCTACCCACATCTTTCTACCTACCAATGCTATGTAATATGCCTTTTGAATTATAGCAAAACCAAATAAACGATCTATCAAAACCTCCGTGTGAATGACCGAAACAGCTCATTGAAATCTGATATTTGAAAGAACTTATCATCTGCAGCTCAAAGCAAAAGTCGCGCCTCAATTGAATTAATAAATAATGTTTTTATTGTAGTAGAATTTGGACTTAAGGTTAAGGGGCGTCAGGGCGGATTTGTGATCGGCACGCGCCACTTGCAGTCGGAAGGGACGTCCATTGAAATAGTAGTCCTTGCGATGCTGAACGCGCAGCAACTTGCTCTGTGAGGCGAGCGTAGTCTCTGGAGCTGCTGTTGTTGTTGGCCTGGGCGACGTTGTCGTAGTCGTCGTGGTCGTGGTCGTGGTCGTTGGGCTGGGCACCTCCTCCAGAATGGGCTTGATTTTCATGGGCTGATAGTCGTAGCCAACGCCGGGTATATAGCGATACGGCAGCGGGGGTATGGCTATGAAATAGATCTTCGAGTCCTTCTTGGTCTTCTTCGTTTTGCTGCCGTTCTTGTTGTATTTGCGCAGAATGAGCGGACGCGATGTTACCAAATAGTCCATATAGGCATTGTCCAGTTTGGGAGATTGCACCAACAGTTTGTTGACGGGACGTGGGGGCGTGCCACGGACTGGGCCGACAGCGTCTGTGCCGCGCATGCTGTAGGAGTAGCTGCCGGCTAGGCTGGGCGTAACCAGGGCGAGCAGTGCCAGTAGGGAAGACAGAGATGGCATGCTGTAAAACGTTGAAAAAGAGAAAGAGGGAAGTGGAGATCATTAGGCACATAAATAAATACATATGTATGTCAAGGCAATTGTACAAATGTGTCCACAAGTTGCGGATCAGGCGCCCACGCCCTGCACTCGAATCGCAATTGTTTCGGGCCATGATTGATGGACTGCTAATGGCTACCAAAATATGAATAATAGAGTTAAGTCGAGCAATGGCAAGCATTTGATTGTTTTTTATTTCGCTTTTCAATTTTGCAAGTCACAAATGCCGAATAATTCGAATAATAAATAAATCGGCTGTGCGCATCAAAGCATGAAATATTTTGTTGCTGAAATTTTATTGTAAAGTTTCTCACGTTCCAGACACAAAGCGAAGAAACAAAACAGATTTCGAGACTCTCGATTTGATTTACTTAAATGAAAGCATTTAATGCACGCTAATCAAAACGCGGACGAAGACGTTGACGCCGGCGTCGCTGTCGCTATCGCAGTCGCTGTCGCTGTCGACGCCCGCTGAGCAATTACGCTAATGAGCATGGCGAGCGCCATCTGGCGGCGCATTTCAACGCCTGAGTGATTAATGAGTAAGTAAAAATAAATTGATCAATAAATAAAGCGAAAAAAAAGAAACAGAAAAAAACTAGCCAAATAAAATCGGCGGCAATTGGCGCAGACTAAACGGCATCAATTAAGCATCGAGACAGGCGCGATAATGCTAACATGTTTGGGGCAGATAGGTTGCGCCCCCAAACTGCCTGATTATGCAAATTAAAGCGGCTGTATCATAAATAAGCGCGATTTAGTATTATCTATCATTTATTTATTTGCTATTGATTTTATATCTAGTTTCCAGCGAAATTCGCCGTCGGCGATTCTAGCTAACATGGCATGTGGCGCCCTCTATTGACCTTGCAGACGAACTTCAGAATTTGATAAATCGCAGAAAGTTCGCCAATAATTAGCTGGTCACCCGAACTGCTGCAGTGCGAGACGCCCGCATGAAATATAATCAGGAAAAAAAAAAAATGGCAAATCGCCTTTTTAACTTTCCTCTGACTTTTGGCAGGTTGTGGGAGTGTTCCAGCGTTCAATCAATGTAATTTGATATCAAAAGTTCAGCTGGCTAGCTGAACGATCATTCACCAGAGATAGCTACGCAGATAACTGAGCTGATCAATATGAAATTGGAAATCTTCGCAGTCAACTAGATTTGCAAAAAATTGTAATTTTGCAGAAGATTAATCAACAGGTGTTTGGCTCTGTCACTTGGCTGCTGCCTAATGATGTATCCACTGAACATTCGAAATTCTTCTCCATAGGAATGATAGTCGTAGTTTTTATTATCATACTTTAGCCAGTCAAGGTCGTCTTTGTTTTATGCCTATATCATTTGTTGAACCCGACTAATTAAGTCACAATCCGCGAATACGGAGGGAAAACGAAAGACTTAGGCAACGAACTGGCCAGCGATGCCATGTTTATGCATAAAATGCTTAATTAATAAATTTCTCAGCAGCTGTCAACTGCACAAACAACTGTTTTGCGTATGCAAATCGAAAATGATCAATTTACGGGCATTTATTCAAATTGCACTCACTTTAAAAGGCGCGTCGTTGATTCCAGCAGCAGCGGCGGCGGCAGAAGCTGTTTATAATTGTTACTGAATTTATTTGCCAACGTGATGAGCCGTTAATGACTATCGAGTGTCCTTGTCCTTGTTGGGAAATTTGAAATATGCGCATTAATTATATAGCCAGATGACGCTTCAATATTTTAATTTGAAAAGTTTTATTGACTTTTGCTTCTGGAAGCTGTAAATTGTTTGACAAGTATTTTATGATCACGACTCGAAGCACGCTTTATACAAATGCTGCTGCTCCTGGCACAATGTTTCCGATTCCCGATTCAAAATCTTCAATTTTACAAGTTGCTTGGCGCGCAGCGTTAGCTTTTGACGTTGTGAACGCCTCGAAGAGCGGCAAATAAATGAGATCTGCGGACTGTGTGTAATTTGTTTTTTGCTTTTTTTTTTTTCTTTCTTCTTAAAACCGAAATCACTTTGCTGCCGCAGTCAGCGTCGTCGGCTGCTCTTTTCGTCGCCATCGCCGTCGTCGTCATCGTCGTGGAGGTGCGACGTCATCGACTTGGAGCTGCTGCTTGAGTGTGAGCGTGAGCGTTGCTCAGCTGCCGGCTGGGCWCAACTCGTATCGATGTGTGTGAGGTCCGACACGATCTCGATGATGAGCCAGCCGAACGAAGTGCATCAATTTGCCAGTTTATTGTTTGCCCGCTTACTGTTACAGTTTGCCATTGCACTTTGCGGGTTTTGCCTTACTTCGTCTGCGTTGCTTCGTCTAGGTTGGCTTTGCTTTGCTTTGCTTGGCTGACAAATTCAAGMGGCCGAGCAGGCGAATTGATCCATTTGAATTGCCAAGAGCGGGGACGCCGCCAGTTGGAAAGTGTCAGAGCAAGGAAACTCTATATCATCAGCCGGCCACTCATGTACTTAGTTTTTGATTAAATTACCAACCTGGCAACTGGCAACTGACAACTGTCAGCTGCAGCACTGGCTATAGTGGCCATAGTGGCTAGCTATCTATAGCTATCTGGGCTGCAGCCTGCGAGGCTTTTGTCTTTCCGATATGTGCACAAATTAGTTACAAATGAACCTACGACAACAAAGGCAGCTGGGTAACACGAAGCTATTGTGCAAATCAGGTTGTTATTGACAGGCCACCGCATGCCACATACCTCAAGCTGAGGCTGAGGCTGGAGCTGGAGCTGGAGCTGCAGCTGAAGCTGAACCTGTGCGTGTGCCGCTTAAAGGGTTTTTTTGTTGTTGTTGCTATGTTTCATTCAGCGATTGGCGCCACAGGCGCTACTCGAGCTCATTTTAAATGTCATTGCGTGATGTGTTGACGTTTCTATCTCCCTCTCTCTCTCACTTTGTCTCTTTTTCTCATCTGTTTTTTCTGTGCTTTTGGCCAGGTTAGTGGCCCGCTTGGTTGACCTTTTTGACCATTGTGGAAGTGGACTTCCAAACTCTGACCCAGTCTCCGGTGGGAAGTCGTCTATGATTAGCAAAATTGATAGCCAACTTCCATTTCTTTTGGCGCTGCAAAGGTCTAAGTCGCTAGCTGGCTAAAAGCTGCTAGCTGCTAGCTGCTACCTAGTTTTATGGCCACTAATTAAAATGATAAAAACAACATTCAAGAGTGCTTTTGTCGGGCGTTATGTAAACTCCGTTTGCCCCATGTACATTAATAGCACCCAGCACTTTCTCATCTTTCACCAACTGAGGCGAACACTAATTGGCCAACGTTTCTAGCAACAGAAATTACATGTGTTTGGATTTGGTATCTGAGCGCCTATCTAATTAAAGCGCAACCTTTTCTTTTATTTCAATTTTCATTTGAGTGTTGTCTGTGCTCTGCGCAAACAAATGACATAACCGCAAATATATCATTTGCCATTTGTTTACCTATGCCAGAGCAGGCTCCCGGTCACAGTGGAGTGGCAATCAAAACACCTTTAAATATTAATTAGCCGTGCCATGGCAGCACCGTCAGCATCGACAGCATCGACAGCATCTGGCTTCCCCTTTTCAGCAATTACGCGTAGCCAATGTACACATGCAAAAGTGTGTGTTGAAGTGCGTAAACTCTCGCATAGCAGCAGCAGCTCCCTCAGTAGCTCCAGCAGCAGCAACTCGAACGAATTTATGTACCTGCCCGATGGAAGTGGCTGCAGAGTCTAATCTAGCTAACTGCACGCAGCTTAGTACAAGTACAAGAACAACTAGTTATATCTGGCGCTGGCATAATTGTTAACGATTAGACAACACAAATCACGAACGAGAGCCAGAGACAGCCAGACAGTGTAGTAGCTCTGATATATCATACATCTGCATCAGTTCCATCTAGCGATTCGTGTGAGCTAAGCTGGGAATTGTTAAAAGTCATATGTTTAATGCTGACGGAAGCAATATAGATAGATGGTCAGAAGCACGAGACAATGACAATGACGTTGGCAGAGGCGATGGCGATGGCAGATACCAAGCCTTGGCTCTAGACGAACTAATCAAGAAGCTCCGGCAACGATAAGATAGACAGGCGGGCAGACAGACAGACGAACAGCCAGACAGATGGAGCTGACTTAGGCGCTTGCGTGTTTAAAGTAGTGCATTAAAAATGGTCTTCAAACAACTGTTTCACTCTGACAGTCTAGAACATTGGCCATTTATGTGGCTAACGTTTTCATTAGCATTAGTCAGAGTACAAGTTGATGGCTGGAACACCCACCCATGGCTGAGGTTAAGGCCATCTCGACGTCACTCTTAAAATGTGCTCATAAATATGTATTGAGGTATGTGCAGGTGTATATGTGTGTGTGTTTGTGTGTGTGTGTGTGTGTGTGTGTGAGTATGTGTACCTAATTATATGTAGTTTCACATTTTATTGTCGATAAATTGGCAAGTTCATTAAACCCATTCGACGATGGCGCACGATTAAGCTGAATCAGCCGCCTAACTGGCCTTTGTCTCTTGGCTTGATTTTGATTTTGAGGCGCTTGGCATGTGGCCACAGCCATTTAATTGCCACCCGGCTTTCGCGCTGTGCACTCGGAATGAAGTTGTCATCGCGGCTGGCGTCTTATGCAATGCTAAAAATCTCGTTCCATCTGTTTTTGTGTGCATTTTTCTGAGTAATTTCTTGCACAAGATTGGGGTCAGCACTGGATGGCAATTGCTTTGACTCTGACTTTCGTTGAAAGTTAAATATTTGTAGAGCAGACGAAAGGAAATGCAACGAAAGGAAAATAAGCATCGTTTCATCTGCAGCCGTACAAATACAATGTTTGTATGGAAAGGTATGCTGCGATCTACGATAACTAAATATAGAAATGAAATCAGTTGCAGATATATCTGTTTGTATAACTGAAAAAAATATTAAAATAAAATCTTCATTTCAAGACCATAGATTATATGTATAAAATATATATTTAAAATAATAAAACAAAAATATAAATATGAATTCTTATTGTACAGGGTATACAGATGTCAATCATTCTATGCCTGGCTGCTGCCATATTTATTTATGTTATTATTATTATTACTACTTTGCTGCTGTTTCTTGCACTTTTTTTGTGAAAGTGCCAAGTGACCACAAGCAAAAAGGTTAAACTGGGCGCCGAAGCGTGCCCTGCACTGGGCTTGGATCGCAGTTAAAACTAGGCTGCGGCATATTGAGTTAAGTGGAGCTGATTCAAGCCAAGCAGTTATTCGATCGTGTAATATTGATTCAATCGGAGTTCCTGTGCCATACAGATAGTTCTATCTTTATATGGTAGTCGCTTTCACACACCACCCACATCGGGTAGCACTATTTACGATTTGCGCGCTATATCTCAATTGCTTTATATCCGCACTATAAACACAAAACTTTCCAATTTTCTTGGATTTCAATTGGAGCAAACGATTGATACTTAAGTTTTATGGCCTTTGCTGTTTTATAATTGCAGGAGATTTCCACACGTCGCCAGGTGGGGTGGAGGAGTAGGCAGAAAATGTAGCCACAAAACTTCTACGGTTTTTCGCAATTAACGAACAAGAAATATGTTTTATCGCTTGAAAGTCAGTTTGGCGAAAATAAACAATGGCAAACATTTTATACATTTTTTTACTATATTTATATACTACTCTTGCCATAGCGGCAATTGTATTAAATGGATTAATTAGTCGCCGCAAATGAATGAAAAAGAAATCATTCGAAATGAATTTAATTGCCCCAGCGCTTTTTACAACATCAAACCGCAGCACCGAAGATCATTATTTCAATTGTCTTATAATGTTGTTATTGTATATTAGTTATTGTTATTCTTCTTTTTCTTTTTGTCGGATTAAATCCATGCGCCTACGTCCACAAAATTCTTCCCAATTATTGTGGATTCCCGCTTGTGCTTGCCGAGACGACGACCTTGAACCAAACGACAATATCTTGGGTCAAAGTCAATAAACTTAGGAGATTCTAGCGAATACACTTACTAAGCAGCTTCCCCACATTCACATCCATATCCACATCTTGTTGACACTTAACTTGTTATCAATGTATCTTTTACCATTTCGTTTATATAACTACCCGGACTGGCCATTAAACGTACCCTGTGGCGCAGAAGAGTGGCCATAAAAACTTAAGATTCAATTGAAATAAGATAAACATCTCGCCTTGTAAAGCGATTTAAAACTATGTAGCAGCTGTTGGCTTAGGTATTGAAATTGAATTTAAGAGCTTCTTATTGCTTTCCATAAGATAATCGAAGTAGCTGTCACTAAATATAGTTGGTAGCTCACTTTTAAAATAGCTTTGAAATAAAAATAAGTATTTGCAAAAAAGTCTTTCGACGAGGATGGGATTCGAACCCACGCGTGCAGAGCACATTGGATTAGCAGTCCAACGCCTTAACCACTCGGCCACCTCGTCACGTGTCAAGGGTAGTTCTAAGATTCTACTAGTTATAATCGCCGAGCGCGAAATAATTTATCTCCGAAGCAGTGCAATTGTGGGTCAAGCAGTGTAATATAATCAGTAGAATGCAAGCAGTAAACACTTGATAGTGCGGAATATTAAATTCTATTGCTCAAAAAAGGTTCTTATATTAAAAAAGCATAAACTTTAATTTTAGTGTTAATACGGGAAATAAGCTGCAAAAACGCATATATATATATATATAATATTATTGTTAACACATAAACGTTGCACTGCTTTCTATTTGATCAAGCTGTGCATCAAGTAATGAACTGGTGGCGAAGGTCGCATATGACGAGGTGGCCGAGAGGTTAAGGCGTTGGACTGCTAATCCAATGTGCTCTGCACGCGTGGGTTCGAATCCCATCCTCGTCGATTTCTATTTTTTTATATGAAGCTAAAACATTTAAATAAATAATTAATTAGAGTAAGCGTTACTATTAAATTAGAATAGTTCTGTAAGAATGCAATAATATAATTCTCATTGATTGCAAATTAAAAGAATTTGACCAAAAACCAAGTGCGACGAGGATGGGATTCGAACCCACGCGTGCAGAGCACATTGGATTAGCAGTCCAACGCCTTAACCACTCGGCCACCTCGTCTTGTTCCCAGCCGCCGGCCCAATGAGACTTCTCAACTCCATTAGAGCTTGATTGTGTTTATAGTGAATAATCGAACAAGAAGAATTACAAAAACAAAAATATATTTGTTTACTCGCCTGAGTAATGGCTTGGACAGCGCATAAAAAATCACCTGTTTGCCGTTAAAGAAAGTAGCCAAGTGGTGGCGCGTGTTTTGTGGTTTCTGGAGTGCAGTCTAAGTGCTTAGTTATTCGTCAACAGAGGTCAACTTTAGCTCTTATACACTACACGAAAAGAGTTTCTTAGTTTCGTAATTCAGTAACAGAGTTTCTGATAAGCTTAAAATCTCATGAGGATTTCTGTTGCTGCGCTTATCTTAAAATTTTGCTATCATGAAAGTGTTTTAACACAACAAAGTCCCCATACATCATGATAATAATTTTGATTATATTTCTGTTTGTTTATTTGATAGAGTATAACAGAGAGAGGTAGAACTTTTGTAAGTTCTATTCATAGAATTTATTTATTTTGCCGTGTGTTTATTTGAAAGAGTATTCCAGAGAAAGGTAGAACTTTTGTGAATTTTATTCATAGAATCTAATTGTTTGTTTAGGCACTTTAGAACACGGTGCTTAAAGGGGTTCTTCTTTGTCCATAACTCTGATATATTATAGAAGCAGTCGTGCCGCCGGCTGACCTAGTTTTTGATTTATTTATTTATTTATACATTTTTAGCTTCAGTTTCTATGGGCACAGATAAAGTTTGCCGAAAAGAGTAAACAAATCAAAAGTAGTTTACCTTAAATGAACTGCGATTCGGATCGGTAGATGATGCTCTTCATTATAATGACGATGGAAGATGAACTCAGAAAGTAACTGGCCCAACTATGCGTATGTCCAGTTGTCAACAGTTGCCATCGTCGTCGCAGTCGCCGTTGTCGTGGTGTTAATGAACCCTATTGCCTGATAGCTGATAGTTGATAGTTGTTTACGTTTACGTTTGCCTTTATGTACGTTCCAATTGCCGGCATTTACACCTAGTGCGACACATCGGCTTCGTTAGGAAAGTGTGCCCAAGTTTGATGATGCGCAGGCACGCGTGTTTATATTTAGCATTTAAGCTGTTGTTGCTGCTGCTGCTGCTGCCGCTGGAGCAGCACAAAAAGCCCGCTGTCGGGTGATAGTCACGTGCACAAGGACATTCCAAGGCTAATTACGTTGGCGCGTCGCCTGCGTTGAGGGGCGCGGGCTTGGCTCTAACATGGCCTGTCTCGGCTCTATTATAGCACCACCCGTTCATTATTGTTGTTGCGGCCACTATGCACACATCTCTCTCTATATCTCTCCATCTCTCTCCTACTGCTGCCGTTCTTTTGCCAGTAGCAGCAGCAGCAGCCGCTTCACAATCTGCGGCATTCAAGTACAAACGTGTAGCATGGGTATCTTTAGCTGTATCTGCATCTTTGCATCTGCGTGGTTGTCTCCAGTTGCAGTTACAGTCGCCAGCAGTCGCCGCTTAATTAGCCATGTAATTTATTATGGCCCTAATCTTTAGGAGAGCAGTGCGCCGGCGCCAACGCCAACGCCGCTGGCATTGACAAATAAACAAATTATTTATATTAGATTATTAATATAAAGCACAGCATCCCAGTTGTGCAAAAGTCAGGGAGCGCCTATCTATGTTTATCAGCCTGTCTATAAAATCAGCATAATTATATGACGCCGACTCTCCCTCTCCCTTTTTCTCTCCTTTTCTCTCTCTCTCTCTCTCTCTCTCTCTCTCTCTCTCTCTCTCTCTCTCTTTCTCTCTCTCTGTTAGGTAGTGGCTTGGCCTAGGGCAAGGGCTTAATAGGCAGCTCTATGACTGGCATAAACCCAGAATTATGCAGACAATAAAGATGCACACCATCCCAGTCCAGATGTATGTATGTATATACATATGTAGACTCTTACATGTGCTCGTAGGTTAAGGTAACCGCACAATTATGCCCAATTATGCAACAGTTGTTCGTGACTGGGGCGTTGCTGCAGTTACAGATATACACAGGTGCTTAAGCTTGGCGCTAAGCAGATTGTTTTCTGGATATCGTTAACTAATGAGCCTTCTGCTTACTGACTCCACCCCCTCTCCCCAGCCCGGGGGCCGGCATCAGTGTCATAAAAATTTAATTGCATAATCGCGGGTGTCAGTTACAGGGCATGCAGACATACGATCTTGTAATTAACATTTCTCAGATATTCTTTTTGCTTAAATTTCTTCTTTATTCCTTCACTCTTTTAATTTGCTGCAATTGCATGTGCAGCTGACACAGCGGCCATTGACACTTGTGTGTAATTATAATTATATTTCTGTACATATGCTAACGTTTGGGCTGGCAGCAATTAGCCGATTTATCACCTGGGAGCGACCTCAGCCGATCTCACAAAAGCAGATGGAGTCTGCAACAGCAACAACAACAACAACAACAGCAGAATCGACAGCGACAGCGACAGCTTTTGGCCCGCTTCTAACTACTTGGGCCAACTCTCGCCTCTTGGCCAGTTCTGCGCCTGCGCAGCGACGCCGTCGTCTGCGTCGCCTTAGCCAATATAAAGCCCAGCTTCTAAGCGCGCTGAGACTTATTGCCAGTTCAACACGTCTGTGGTACAGTTCATCCGTTCTTTCGCTACTGTTCCTGTACTGCGTCCTGTTCAGTATTCAACAAGCTTTCCATTTGGATTAACAAGTACGCAGCGCCAAAATATTGTGAATAGTTTTTAAACAAATTTTGTAAAAGTGTGAATTAAGGGAAATTTTCTATAAATTCTATTAAAAATTGTTCATAAGGTTACAAATGTATATTCCAAAAATTTAATGGAAAAATAATTGAAATGGCATTGCCTAATACTCGTTTTCTGTGAAAAAAAAAAAACAAAAACAAAAACAATTAAATTTTTATTGCGATTTTATTTTTATTTCGTGGCCAATAAGGATTTCATTTGATCTTTACAGGATCTAGTGGGCCTTCTACTTTGTAAACAGTTTGTGCTTGTGTATAAGAACAAGGATAATTTAGATATAGATTGAATAACTGCATAATCTAAATACATATATAAAACATCTTCATATATATAACAATTTATAAATATACTTTTTAATGATATCCACTAAACGAGAAATATGAAATGTCCTCAGTACTTGTTAATATTTGATTCATTTGCGTAAGCCGTTTGGGAACTTGAATCTAAGGATGATATTGCTATCTTTTGAAATGCATCCTAGGATCTTAAAGCATTCATTTTCAATATAATATTTTTTATACTTTCAGCTAACGCCGTCGCCATGTCAACTCACATGGCCAATCTGCATATTTTGCTGTCCTTGCTGCTGATCTGCTCGACGCAGGCTGCCAATCTGTCGCAGCTGGTCAAGAAGCAGACGCAAGTGAAGCAGCCGCAGCAGCAGCAGCAACAGCAGCAGCAGGCAGCGAGCCACATGGCTGCGGCTGGGCAGCAGTATGCGCATGAGGCGGAGCTGCCAGCAGAGCAGCAGCAGGATATGAAGAGCGAAGAGGAGGATGATTCATATCAGATGATGCACGAGTTCAAGCAGGATTCACGCATGCCGGCCTCTGCAACGAACTTTGCTTGGAATCCATATACAGCAGCAGCTGCCGCCGCCACTGCAGCTAATCCATTTGAAAGCATGGCACCGCCTGCACCGGCTCTGCCCATGCCCAAGATGCTGCCATTTATTGGGTATGCACAGCCGCTGCTAATACCCTTTCCGCTGTACATAGCCCCAGACATGTTCTATCCCAGCTATCCGGGCGCTGGCAACGATCTGGAAGATGTGGTCATGTCGCGTGCCGCCGGCGATCGTCGTCCGTCCGCTGCTCAAGCGGCTCGCAACTCGCCCATTTACTATGTGCGCTTGCCGCCCACGCCGTACATGTTTGTGCCCACCAACCTGGCACCGACCCCATTTGCCAACAGCTTCTCGCCACTGCTCACCTATCAGCCCATGCCCACGTTCTCCACCTTTGGCTCGGTCTTCAATCTGCCCGTCAACTTTCTGGCCAACGGCAAGCCCTCCGGCATTTATCAGATGAACGGCGCCGCCGGGGATATGGCATCATATACACCTGGATATGGCAGCAACTTCAATTTGCGCCCGCCCACACCGACCAATCCGTATAGACCGCCTCCGGTCGCCAACTACGGCCATGCGCCCCAGAAGCAGGGCTTCGGGCTGGCCTCACTGCCGGCTCCGCAGCAGGACTCCAAGTTGACATCACTGAAGCGTCCCTTTCTGTTTAATGGGCGCCCCGAGGACATCTATATTCTGCCCAACAATGTGAACTCGCTGTACAACTACAACGAGCAGAACTACTACTGATATGTGGTGGGCGTGGCAGCAACTAAAAGTATTACTGAATGCATTTCAAACTAATTAACAATAAAACTGCATATAAAAACTTTATTTGTGCGTTTTCGAGACTTAATTAGCCAAATGATAACATATCATCTAGGTTGATCCTCAAGTCGTAGGTTTAAATATATATTGTATCTTATCAAATGAAGCCCTTATATGGCTTAACATCTTTTATCTATACAAAAAAGCGTCGTTAAAGACAACTTGGTAGTTTGTATTTATCAAGAAATAAAAAATATAAAAAAAGACGAAAATAGTCGGATAAATAGTTAATATTACATAATATTGTCTTAATTTTAAATACTTGGGTTTTTACAAAAGTTTGCATAAAGAAAATGATGTTCTCAATCGCCGATAGCTGCGACTTTCTTCTTCATTTTCTCAATATATTGGCTATCGCCCAAGTACTTGACATCCCCAACGAGCTGTCCGGACTTCATATTGAACTCGTATACAATTGGCACACTATTGGGAATGTTGACCTTTTCGATTTGCTCTTCGGAGAAACCTAAAAGCGAAATAAACAGAGGAAATATTTTAGATTTATTGACCAGATATTGGGATTGATGTAGCGCACCTTCGATATGCTTAATCAGAGCTCTGGCAACGGTTCCATGGACGACGAGCAAGATACGTGCCCCCATTAGGACTTCTTTTTTGATCTCTAACCAAATGGGGGCGACACGATCCACACACATGCGCATGGATTCGGTGAGGGGAAATTCATTGGGTGGCACATCCAAAAAGGCAGGATTGTTGGCGATCTGGTAGTAATAGATATTCGACTCATTGATGGGCGGCGGTAAGCCGTCGTAGTTGCGCCGCCAGAACTGTACCTGCTCCTCGCCATACTGATTGGCCAGCACGCGCTTATTGACTCCTGTCAGGTTGCCATAGTGCCGCTCATTCAGTCGCCAATCGGACACGATGGGCAAAAACGAGCACTGCATTTCGCTTAATATAGCTTCCACAGTTGTCCTCGATCGACACAGCTTCGAGCAGTAAACCTTATCGAATACCATGTTGGCCTCGTTCAAATTGGCAGCGGCCAAAATACGCGCCTCTTCCAGGCCTAAAACGAAAATTGAAAATTAGTATGATTATATTCATTATTTATTTTATTTTGAATATATACGACATAAAAATTAAGAATTAATCTGAATGCCGTAAAAATATATTATTAAATTTAAAAGATATAAATAAAATAATTTAGTATTCTTAAAAATCTACAAAATTCCTAATGCAATAATAATTAATAGAAATAATGAAAAATATATGATATATGTACTATGTATAATATGTGTAGATAAAAAAACGTATATTCTGACAATTATTGTATCCATCGTGTTACGTTCTTTATAATAAAATCATAATACCCTTTGATAAGAGCATAATAACAAATGTACTGTTATCACTATTGTACGCTTACCACCCGCGCTGAGCGGCGCATCGTGCCAGCCGCAAAACAGATTCTTCAGATTGAACTCGCTCTCGCCATGGCGCACCAGTACAAGTTGATTCGTTCTGCTCATCAGGTTGTTGCTGAAGCGATAAAACAGGTCTCGTTTGGTTAGTCAGCTTAATTAGCACTAGCGCCAGGCCTTTTGGCATATTAACTAAAAGAATTGTGTTAGTGTATCACTCAATATACCGTTATATTCGAATATATTAATGAATAACAATAACAACGGACAAACTCCTGAGCGAATTTACTTTTGGCTTAGTCGTCGTTGTATTCGACACAGGCCGTTTCTATTGAATTGCTTGAGACACGAGGCTTGAATTGTTATTTTTTTGAAACGCGCATACCGCGCATTCTTTTGGCTAACGTATCCGAAATAAATTGAGAAACAGAAAATAATAATGAAGACAAAAAAAAAAATAAATAAAAATAAAAACAAAAATAAATAAATAAATAAAGAGTCCGCGCTCACATGCCAAAGCCCAAACAAGACAGAACGAATTATAATTGCTTTTGCGTACGGGCACACGCTGCTGGCTGGCTAGACATCGAGACAGACATGAGCAGCGCACGCTTTGACTACGCTTTGTTCTGTTTTTGCGGTCTCTGTTTTGCTCGTCTCATTCGCCGTTTTGGGAGGTATCAAATTTTTGTTTGTTACTTCGCACTTCCTATTGTTACTGTTGTTGCGCTAGTTATTGCCGCCGCAGACGCAGTCATTGGCATTGCATGCGCCAACATATTGGCATAGTTTAGAATTAATATTTTATTTTATTTTTTTTTTTTTTTGCAGTTGGATCTACGCTTTATTCGCGAACCGCGCACTGAAAATAGCGCGCCAAAGCGTCGTTCGTCTATGCCGTCGCGTGATTGTCTCGCTGTGCCTCGTCTCGTCTCGTCTTGTTTCGGCTCTACACGCTGTTCACCCTTCTCTCTTTCTTTCTCTCTCTCTCTCTCACATATTTTACTTACGCCTGGCATTGTAGCAGTTCACAAAGCTCGCGCATTTCGGTGTTTTTGTTGTTTTTTGTTTTGTTTTGCGAGTGTTTCTGTTGGTTACGATAAATATTTGTTGACTTTTTGCGTAGCTTTAAGTTTTGCCTCTTGTGTTTTAATATCAATTATAAGGTCAGTACGTTACACTTTTTGTTTCAATAACTTCCACGTTATCCACATTGTCTTGCGCTCGCTCCCTGAATTAGTGCACTTCTCCGTTTGCTACGTTTTGTTTATCTAGTAAGACTTCTGCCTGCAACTACGTTTGTTTTCCTATTGGCCACAGTTGAGTACTGCGCAAAATTCTTATTGGTAAAATATGAGCTGCTTAGCCTCTGTCGGCGTCGGCATCGACATCGGCGTCAGCGTCGACGCTGCTAACGACTGCGCCTCAACAACTGATGCTGAGCCGGTTGTTGTTGCTTTTTGCTACGTTTTGTTCCGCAACACGTAAGTCCGAGCAAAAAATCAATATAAATACGCACATAGCCAGGAAAATTAAGAGAATTTTTGAATCATTTTTAATTTAGTGGTTAATTTGTATGTGTTTGTATTAGCCAACTGTGAGACGAAATAGTTCAAAATGTTTGAATATACATATGTATGAACTCTGTGTATATTTTGTTTATGTCTAAAATTTCTTAACAATTATACTCACAAAAATATTTTTTCTTTTTAATTATCTTAAATTAAGAAATTACTTTGCCACTGGTCACACAAATCCCATTTGAAAAAGCTTTTATATATGTATATATAATTTAAATAAAATTGGTTGTATAAGTATACAAGAAATGAGAAAAAGAGAATAGTTTGTGAAATTTTGTTTATATACACATTGCAGTGAATCGCACAGTAGTAAAGAATCGTTTATCGGCCAAGAATTGGCTCGACTATGATCTTGATCTTGATCTTTGAGCTGCTATATTATACTCTTGGCAATTCTCCAATAAATGCAATCACATTGAAAGCTTTTCGCTAAAAAGTCTATAGAGAAATTTAGCAATAAAACATTCTCTTTCTTTAAACATAGCTAAGCTAAAAATGCAAAATTATTGCAACTCTTCACTCATAAATCATAAATAGAGTTAGATGGATCATACGTACAAACAAACTTATTTATGTACATGTTCCTTGCATTAAAAAAAAAAAAATAATAATAATAAGTTCTTGTTTAAAATGGAACATATTATGTTGAATCGCAAATTTGATAATATCAATGTAATAATTTTGTTTTTGATTGAAACTTTTCTTGTATATTTAACTGAAAGGATATAAAATATATGAAGCGAGGGTATATAATAGTCGTTGTCTACCTTTAGCTTTAATCTCTAAAACAACTGTAAATTCTTAAAGATAAGCTTAAAGCTCGGTGCTATGAAGTTTTAACATGTCATCATTGTAATCGGAATGTTTTTATAGTGAATTGTAATAGTAAACTCAGAAGCTCAACTAGAATCCGTTCTCGAAGCTGTGCAGCTGCCAAATATGAGCAGCTTAGATCCGTAAATGTTACGTGGGTGCTCATAACTGTCTGTGTGTCAACCCATTTCGGCATTATTTGTTGGCGCTGTTGTCGTTGAGCCGCAGAAATCGAGCATGAAAAAAAGAAACTCTCGAGTCATCCACCCCCCAGAGCCGATGGCATTTCCCAAGTGATCTCGACTCTGACGAAGGGCTGTCGGAGACCACGAATCCGTATAAAGGTCTAAGCCAGCCATGAGCGCGGCTCAGTTGGCAGAGCAGCGTGCGTGAGCCTCTTTGTCGGGTCGTTCGTGTACATAACGATTGCATACTTCAGTTGATTTACACTTGAATAAGAGTTAATGTACGTCTGTGCACAGTTGTCATTATAATTGCGCAGAATGCATTTTCCGGCAATTGGCGACTTCTATCAGCGACTTCTGTTTCTGCTGCCCTTCTCAGCGAGTGGGTATTATTGTTAAATTGAGAACTTTATTTACAAATCAATCGAGTGTGTCCATGCTGTATAAACGATTGCCATTCACAATTGTGCATGTGAATAATACAAACACATTTGGGTCTCTTCTCTATGCTCAATGGGTCTTGCCATCTGTAACGGTACTTGCACCTTACGCACTGAGCGAATTTATGAGCCATCTCCAATCTAATATCACTCATATGTCACCTTAAGTACTCATAAAACTGTCAAATCGAAAGGGAGTGAAGCACACGCATAGGCCAACTAATGGATAGTAAACAAAAGACGCGGCTTGTAAATAATAACAATAATTAAAATTGCATGCACAAATGCTTTGCGAATAGCGAATAACCATGGAAGATGTCGCAGCACTTTTATTGTTGTTTACAATAAGGTTATATAAGATGGCGCAAATATCTTAGCCTTTTGCCCGACTTCCCCACATAAATTGGACAATTATGGTACGCAATTGGCTCTGCGTTTTGGGAATTGAGTCAAAGCAGTTAGCCATTGTGATTGAATATCTTTGGGGTTGCCCAACTAATCTGCAGTGAATGGTGACAGCCATAGATCAAGTAACAAGATAATCCATATCCATTATCTGAAGACCCGGAGCACTCCTCAACACAAAAGTTACCCAACAGATCAAGCAGATAGCTGAGCAACTGGGAATTTGGTCATGGTCATATTCATTATTATAAATATTGATAATACATATTTTTGGAAACAAGTCAACCTCTAGTTCAGTCCAGTCCAAGCCGAATATGTTCCATATCTTGAATGAATCTACAATTCTCCAACATTTGGTTGATCCATATATTGAAATATTTGAAAATTTGACAGTATTTTCGAAAAAGAATATAAATTTTTAGCATACAAAATATATTTAGTTAAAGCAAGATTTACGAATAAAACTTAGCCGAATGTAGATTATATGATTTAAAAAGTTAAGAGTTCTATCTGTTCTTATCCATATATCTATACTAATCAAAAGTATTCTCAACTAGATTTACTGCCAGAAGGGCTACGCTTCAGCTATGATGATCCCCAAAGCTGGCGACTTAGTTATCCACAATGTGGGGGTAACTACCAATCGCCCATCTCATTGAGTCTCCACAAGGCAATACCCATTGGCTTGCCTCCATTGCACTTTGGTCATTATGATCAGCCCTTCGATGAGCTCTTGAGTGTGAGAAATAATGGACATACAGGCATGTATGCTGCATCAACAAGATATTTGTTATACTAATGAATCTCTCCTAACTTGTATGCAGTTGAGTTCAGGGTGCCCACAACCGTGCTGGGTGAACGTCCTTTTCTCACTGGCGGACTACTGCGGGACTTCTACGAGGCGAGGGCTGTGCATTTTCATTGGGGCTCGTCTCAACGTAAGGGCTCTGAGCATTTGCTCAACGGGCGGCGCTACGATCTGGAAATGCATATTGTGCATCGCAATACAAGATACCAGAGCGATGAGGAGGCCAGAAACCAAACCGATGGCCTGGCCGTACTCGCGGTGCTCTTCAAGGTGGTGCGGGTAAGTGAAAGATTTCTTGGAACACTACTAAGCAAGCAAATAACATAAATTTGTATTTGCTTGCAGACCAGCTATCTGTTTTATCAGCCCGGCCTTAACGAGATCTTTGGCTCGCTGCTGCACCTGGGCGACTTTAATAGCAGCTACACCCCGCCTGCTTTTCTTACGCTCGGATCGCTGCTTGGCAACCTGGATAGAGGCAATTTTTATGCCTACATGGGATCGCTGACCACGCCCCCATGTTCGCCAGCTGTGGTGTGGCACGTGTTTGCCGAGGTGCTGCCCATTTCGCACCTGGAACTGCCGAAGTTTTGGCAACTCAGAGATCGCCGTGGCCGGCCGCTGTTGAACACGTTTCGACCACTGCAGTCGGTGGAGGCGCGTCAGGTGTTCCATCGTCGAGCTTCCGATGCATATGTCTGGTTAAAATAAACGCTAAAACTCAATATATTTAACGAATTTATTGCCAAAAAAAAGTTTTTTATCTGGATAAATTTAGGTAAATTTTTTAACCGAATTTACGTAGTTCGCCAATGGTTACTTGCAGCCACCTCTGTAACGTGACAAAAAAGCCGCAAAAAATCCGAGTTCTATGGCCAAAACGGAGGAGCGCATCATGAATGGCGGTAGCTTCAAGACGGGACGGGTCAGCTTTGGTACACTGGCGCTCGCATGCATTGACTGAGATGCAACCGACAACGGCATCTGCGGCAGAATCGAGTTGCGCTGCAGCTCAGTCTGTCGCCGGCAGCTAATGGTGTGATACTCCTGATCTCGTACATCGAATGGAGGGCGTGGAATGCGCACGCGCGGATTGAGCGGCGGATGGAATGGCTTGATGGTGACCTTTCTATTGACTCTACCCTGTTGCTGCTCGCGAATCTGTCCAGGGAAAGGCTTGGTCGTCCCAACACCCTCCTCTATGTTATATGGATCCTTGCCTTCATAAGCGACGGGTCGTTCTTTATACTTTTCTTGGCCTGGCTGGCCCTTCGTCATGATTTTCGCTAATCTTTTGCTTATTTTACTGATTTGCGTCTCCATTCGCTTGAGTTTCGTTTGATTGGGCTCCGTTTCAGTCTCATTTATATTCGATTGCTTGGCAGAGCGTGAAAGGTCTTCGTGCTGGTTCGGTGTTTTCGATTTCTCCAACGCAATCCTTTCTTGACGCCATTCCTTTCTAGGCGTTTCGGTGGGCTGTGTTGATGACAATTTACTAGTTCTGCCCTTTGCTTGGGTTGGATTGTCAAACTCCGTTGGCCGCTCAGCGCTCGATTTAGCTTTGAGCACTGATGTGCCTATCGGCATATTACATTTTTGTCTATCCATTAACCTGGGCTGATCCGTTGACTCGTCCTCTGGCATGACTTCATTAAACTGTGCTCGCGTACCCTCAACCGGCAATTGAGAACCCTTATTGATTTTATATCTCAGCTTGTGCTGACGTTCTAGTTCCTTTTCTTTTTGTTGTCTTTTATTTTCCTTTCTATCCTCTCCGGCAATAAAATCAACCAGATGACTATATTTGTAGGCATCCAAAGTTTGAAGATTCTTTTCTTGCTTGAGAGAGTTGTCAAATTTTTCACTATCCAACAACCAATCCCATTCTGAAGTATGCTTTCCAGCTTTGCCGCGAACCTTTCCCGTATCTTCTGTATTCCGATCAATTCCTGTAGTCTGTCGGCCCTTCATACTTGGTACATTCTCCACATCTTTTCTACCGACTTGAGTGTCCGCGGGTTCGATATCCAACGGAAACGTCTGTGCACTGCGAAATTTAGCATCAACATTTTGAAGATTCTTAGTTTCATCTTTCTCTCGACTTTCACTAAAGGGCAATAGCTGCCAACTTTTCCGACTTGTCTTCTCCGCATCAGAAGGAACTGTCTGCTTTAAAAAGTTCGTTCTGTCCTTATGACTGTTATTTTTCTCTTGGCTATCTGGCAGCGCATTGTTTTCCCCATATTTAGACCGCATATTCTCTGACTGATTGACTGCCATAAAATTGGTATCTTCGTCTACTTTGGATCGATCTAATATGGGTTGCCCTTTCTGTCTAAACTGCAAATACTGACCATATTTTTTAATTTCGTCCGATTCTTTAAGTTCATGTTCATCTAGAATATCCTCTGCCTCCTGTATATTTACCTTTTCGGATTTCTTCGTTGATATTGAATTACGCTCGATATCGTCTTGTCTGGCTCGTTCTAACTTTTGCTCGATGCGTTGCCTTACTTTCTGTGTCGTTTCCTCTTTCGGATTTTCATCCCCGCGATTATTGTTCATCGACCTGTCTCTGCTTTCAATTTCTTTGGGTATCTCGGTATCCAGAATAGTATTCTCCACTTCCGCTTCTAAATCCTGAACCAGTTTGTTATTCTTCCGCTCCGGCTGCCAAACACGTCTAGCCTCATCATAATTGAATCGTATCCATCTCGTGTTTTTATCCATTGTCTTATCATCATGCTGTTGTTGTTGGTTCCAATCTGATGTGCCTTTGGCTTTCATTTCAATGGTATTTTCCAAATTTTGTTTCGAAGCATCGCCACCAATGGCTTCATTGCCACATTTTTCTATTTTCTCGTAATCTTCCATTGCTTTAAGCTGTTGTATGTCCTCGACGGAAAATCGCGGAGATAATGAAGATACATATTTGCCTTTCTCATTTGATTGATTAGAAGAAAACGAGTTGTTCTGTTCATCGAAATATTCCGATTGTTGATTAGCCCCGATTGGTTCCATTGGAACACTCTTGTACATTTCCTGCGACTCATTAGCTATCTTACTTTGGACAGTTAGATTATTTGACGCCAGTTCATTATAGTAGCCGGGCGCCAAAAAAGATGAATCTGTTGAAGCCACATTATCTGATTTCCGCATCTCAATTTTGTTATTTGTTTTTGATTCGATAGGCTTAATTTTAAATGTTATAGGCTTTAGTAACATCGACTTTGGCAGCTTCTCTTGGACCTCTAATTTGCCTTTATTCAACGATAGTTGCTCCCATTTCTCGGGAATGTTCTGGTTGTAGTTATCCGGCGCATTCAGCTCAGCTTTGGTTGAATTTGAGGGATTACTTTCTTTTGAAGGATCGATCGGAACCTTTTTTGATCTTATACTTATTTTATAGTCGTATTTGAAACCACCGTCGGAATTGGAAGGCTTGTTATCAGTGTTCTTTGTCGGCAAGTCCTTTCCCAAGCTATCGTGTTTCCCTTTGGCAACATTTTTCTTTGGTTTTTCTAAATATTCTCTCATTAGTTGGCTTTTAATTGTAGATTTTTTTAACAACTTCAGCTCCAATTCATCCTTTTCCCTTTTGCGCATCATTTCCAAAAACTTCTCCTGTTGAGGGTCGTCTTCAAATAAACGCATTTCATAAGAATTTTCATTGGGCACCTTTTTGTTATTGTCAGTCGACTTCGATTTTCTAAGCGCAGTTGATTTTCTTGTTGCTCGGTCTCCAATGTTTTCACCAAATCGTTCATCGATCGATTTTGATTGCGCCACTGTTTGTGTCTCCGGTGGGGGGTTCTCTTTTCCCTTAACCCGAACCTTCAACTCTTCATATTTATCAATTCGCGGCCTGCCTTGGTATTGCATTGGCATAGGATTATCGGGGGTCGTATTTCCATCTGACATTACGATCGGATTGACTTGAGTTTGCTTTCCAGGGCTCGAGGATTTACTATCACTAGGATTTTGATTCGCAGTGTATTGTGAGCCGATAAGCAGGAGGTCCTCCTTCGGTACTGATGTGTCCTTAATCTGAAGACAAATTTCTGGATCGTCCTTCTTCGCTCCCATTTCAAAAGAAAATTCCATACTTCCCTTATCGGAGTCCGATGCACAAGTTTCAGCTGCAGTATTAGAGTTACGAGCAACATGTTTTAGCTCTCTAGTTTTACTTTGATCATTGAAATAATCAAAATATGGTTTCCAGAAGCCATCGTCTGAAGTGGAATTAAAAATTGGCTCGTCATTTAATTCCTCAACCCTTCTGCTGCTATCAGCTGAATCAGTACTGAAATCGGGAACTGTGTCAGCTATATTCTCAAGAACACTATCTGTGTTAGAAGAGAACATTGAAAACTCATCCTTCTGCAGGTTGGTGATGGAGTAATTGCTAAAACAGAATGGGATTGAATCATAAATAAGATATTCAGCTTGAAACACACAAAACTCATACGAACCTCAAGTCCGGATGGTTACGGAGGGTTTCAACAATTTCATACGGTGGTACCTCCCTCTGGCAAATTCGATGAACGGTCGAAAACAATGGATACCTTAAAAATAAATGTTTTTGGTAGTATCGATATATACTGAGAGCTAAATTTATTTTAAACCCACGTTTCGTGCAAATTCGACTTTTCCAAATACGCATAAACCTCTTCTGCAATAATGGGCCCAAGCAACTTGCGACCGCTTAGAAGATTTGCTTCGATTTCGGGTATTGTTTTTCTCGAAGTAACCAAGTTTTTGGCAAATGTAACATTTTTGTCTCCTAGAGAGCAAGCAGAGGTATTAAATAAAAACAGGTCCCACTCACTGTTAATTGGTACTCACCATATGAGGACGCCACGGAATTTGCTAAACCACAGCTTTCGAAAAGGGTAGACACTTTCGTTGTTGGATTGAAGTTCTTGATGAAACGCATCATTTCTTTTAAGCCTAGATGAAGGCAAGCCACACGGGCATTGTCTCCCAATCGCAAGCCATCAATGAAGCCGGCACTTAGCGCAACCAAATCCTTTAGGGAATTGCATAATTCTACTCCATCAACATCGTCTATGGCAAAGACCATGCAATTTTCAGTCTGAAGCAAATTGGTTAACTCGTTTGCATGATCTTGATTGTTGCAGCCAATAGTGATCTCACAGAGTTTACCCTGTGCCATTTCCATGGCACTGTTTGCATTCATCATTGAATAGCATGGTATACCCAAGTGTTTGGTAATGGCATGCGAATAGAGATCAATTTCCCCATCTTTAATATGCTCGAGTCCCTTTATTAATGAAACTGCATAAGCCCCCGGTTTCACATGGTCCGCTAATATGTTACAATACGCTTTCAAGAAGGTATGCGGCGTGGCAAAGATTAATATGTCTGCATCTCGAGCAGCATCAATAAGATCATTGACTGCGACCTAAATACGACGTTTCTCAGTAAAGTATACTAAAGCAATTTAAAAAGCGGACTTTACCAAGTTTTTGGGCAGCATTATTCCAGGCAAATATTTAATATTTTCATGTCTTTCATTCATGACCTGTGAAAGGTAATTGTTTCTGACAATCTCGTCGTACACATAGATGTTAACTTGGGGATCGAAATCATAATGGAGCACATTCTGGCACACAGCGGTTGCAATTGCTGATCCCCTGAAACACGTATAAAGATGAAAAGTTCGTGAGAAAGAAGAAAAAATCATTTGGTGTGTGGACCTACCAGCCTTCCGATCCAATGATGCAAACTTTAGGATTTTTTGACATAATCAATTTTTACAATTCAACTCCGAATGGAGGCCACAAGCATTAAAACTAAATTTTTAGAGTTACCAAATGATTTCCAATATTTAAAGAGCCAAGAATTTTTTAATTTTAAAAAAATTTATAAAATTTAAGATGTTTTTCTGTGAATAGGGCCCAAATACACTAAACTTCTTTCCGACTTGAACATGTTGACAGGTAATTCTGTGACAGTTCCTTCAACTGTATGCTTCAAACTCATATACGATCTCTGATGAAGGACCCATTGAAGATTCATTGGACAGCCTCACGGTCTTGGTGATTTGTTGTTTTTCCTTTTGTTTCTCCTGCTGCGCTTCTTGCTGTGAAATAGCACGCAGCTCGAATTCGGTTATGATCTGCGAAATGCGACTTTTGGCCTCGGCTGCTAGTTTGGGTGGCAAACTCTTGATGCTGATACAAGCGCTTTCAAAAAACAAATCATAGCTGTCGCGCTGTTGCATATGCATAGCTTTTTGGCTTACGGTCGTTGTAGGTGGTTCTTCTTGATCTGTCGTTTGACATTCTTTTGTTCTCAGGTCTTGGAAATAGTCGTTTAACAAGGCACGATCTCGCACTATGCTTTGCAATAGCTGCTCACGATCTAGAATAGGTTTAGATTTCATGCTATGTCGCCTGAACGCCATGAGGCTATTTGTAGCTTTTTTATACTTTGTGACTAAAAATAAAATAAGGTTTATATACTAACAATTTCTAAGTTTATGTGCAAGTACTTACCTTAATGTCTCCAAACGAACGAATTATTTTTATTATGGATATTTGTATACAATTTGGCGACAGCGGCTAATAGCGATGTGTAATGCCAATATACTATATATCGATACATTTTTCACGTTACATACGATGAATCGATTCTTTTATTTCAAAATACAGGTATGGGATAATCCACTTATATCCAATTAAAACTATTTACAATTTTTTTTTTTACAAATTAGATCTAGTTCTCCTATCAATACATTTGCATCATAAGCCCGGCTTTCTCTTTTATGTCATAGATCTAAAGCAATTAGCTATGCGTTGGTCACCGTTGGTCTCCTGGGCCATATGGTGACCATTGTTTGCCATTGGCGTAATTGGCATCTCTATACCTGTGGGTTCTCCTTGTTCATCATTATCTCTTAAGCCGCGGAGCTCAAGCTCACAAATAAGCTGCGATACTCTCATCTTTGCTTCCGCGATAAGTTTAGGAGAAAGCGCTTTAACACTGGAGCTCACACTTTCGAAGAACAGATCAACATGATTTTTCTCTCTTAGGGGCGGGTGCGGTAGTTGAACTCCAATCAGTTCTCGAAATGATTCCATTAGCTCGTTCTTGTCCTGCTGGATTTGCATCAATAGTTTCAGTCCTTCTTTATTGGATGAAGAGTTAGCGTTGCGACTTGGGACCGATTTAATGATTGGTGGTTCTGGCTTTGCGCTCTTTGCTGTCATAAGGGCCGCTTGCGCATTGACAATCGGTGTTACTTGGAGCTGTTCCTGTGGGGCCTCCTCAATTACCTCGAAGTTATGGGTGCTGCCATTAAACATTACTTCAAATACTGCCTAAGATAATGAAAATATAAAGTACCTTTCTTCGATGACCCCATTAGGAGTAATTTCTGCAATTGGCTCCACCTCTAAAAGGTCATTTTCCTGTACTGTGCTCACTGGCTCCTGTTTCACCTCCTTAAGAGCGCGCTTTCGCTGGTGGTAGTATTTGCTGCGTTCTTGGCGTACACTTAACTCCTTTCGCACAGCACCTTCTCCCTTGGTCACCAGTGACTCCAAATTTCTTTTATGTTTCGTTGTACGTTCATGTCGCACCAAATGACAACGATTGCAATCAAGACGACATTGGCAAGCTCGACAGAATGGTTTGTTAGGATCATCAGCGGATCGCGTAAGCCATGGTTCGAAGAGGCTAAGCCATTTTTCACAAAACTTTTGGCTGTACTTCAGTTTTCCACATCCAGTTTTCACTTTACCTTTTTCTTTAATTTTTGCATCTTTCCTAAATGTATTTTAGTGCTTTTACTTCGGAATTTATTATGCTTATCAGTGCTTACCAGTCAGAATCAGATGTATTTTCGGAGAAACTCATCTTATTTACGATTTGCCCCCTAGTTTTTTTGTTTTGTTATTTGTTTATTTATTCACGAACGACATCGATATATTTGTCGACAATTTAATTTCATCGATAAGCAGATACTTTTTTGATATCGATTTATTACAGGTGCGTTGAGTCAACTAATTGAAATTCGTTTTTGTTTTAAGAAAGATAAAAGTTGATAACTGAAAAATTTTTAATGTAGTGCCAAAAAAAAAAAAAACAAACATTTATTAGTGATTTGTTCAGATATATGTAAAATCTATTTTAAAGCGCATTTGAGGCATATTGAATACGTTTCGTAAATCTAGGATTATTC